GAAAAATACACCTATAAATAATATATATTATATAATACTTATTTTTCCGAAAAATACAACCGTAAGTTTTGTTTTAGGATTTTGACATAATGAATTGTTGTTAGAAGTACTAGCATTTCCCCCCGTGCGATGCACGGGATAGCATTTCAAATGAAAATGATGATTAGTTTAATACATGATAATTACAATTATAATAAAATTTATTAGTGATATAAAAAAAAAACATCAACATTTATACGAATTTAATAATACAAACCATTAAAAACTATACAAACTTAATTGTCAATCATTAAATAAATGAAGCATGTTTTTTATTAGAAAAAATATGTTGGAAAATAATAATAATAATAATAATAATAATAATAATAATAATAATAATAATAATAATAATAATAATAATAATAATAATAATAATAATAATAATAATAATAATAATAAAATATAGATGTAGTGGAGTATGATTGTGTTAGCCGAGATTTGGTGTTAAAATAATTAGAAAAAAAAAGCTGCAAAATAGGAGATAAAATAAATATATTTACACATAAATTAATTTATTTTTACAAATATGTCATTAGGGTTTCTTAAGTTACCCTAGCGTTTCTTTCTTTTATATATAAGACTAGTAATTCACCCGTGCGATGCACGGGATCAATTTTAAAAAAAAATATTTTGGATAAAATAAAATGAACGAAAACTTTGAAGAGTTGATATATATTAAATAATATCAAAAAAATATTTTAATGAATCAAAATATACATTTGTTTTTTATTTACCTTCATATTCGCTGAAAATCTTTTGTGCACACAACATTGCTCGTAATTTTAATTATATCGCCCGATTCTGAGTTGAGAAATATCTTTATCTCAAATTTACTTTTAACTCTGGACATTGCGGCCTACAATTGCCTATGTCACTCTAATATTAACACTAATATTACACTAACAACAACTACTACTACTAATACTAAAACCAATATTGATAATACTAATACCGATACTAATATTAATATTAATCCTAATATTAATACGATAATTAATGCTAATAATCTAATACTAATAATAATATCAACACTAATATCAATAATAATATGACAATTCTAATACGAATATTTAATGTTTAAACTAATACGCCAATACTGATACGAACACTGATATTAATACTAATACTAATACTAATACTAATATTAATACTAATACTAATACTACTTCTAATGCTAATGCTAATGCTAATACGCCAAGAATAATATGAATTCGAATACTAATAATAATACTAATAATGATAATAATAATAATAATGATAATAATAATACTGATATTGATATTGATATTGATACTGATACTGATACTGATATTAATATTGATACTAATATTAGTACACATACTCATATTGATACTGATACCGATATTGATACTAATACTAATACTCATACTAATACTATTATTAATATTAATATCAATACTAATACCAATAATAATACCAATATTAATATTTATACCAATACTCATACCAGTACCCATACATATATCGATACATATATTGATATTGATACTGATACTCATACTCATATTCATACTAATACCGATACTCATACTCATACTAATGCTGATGTTGTTGTGGATAATGATACTGATACTAATACTGATATTGATACTAATACTAATAATACTAATACTAATACTAATACTAATACTAATACTAATACTAATACTAATACTAATACTAATACTAATACTAATACTAATACTAATACTAATACCAATACTAATACTATTAATACTAATACTAATACTAATACTAATACTAATATCAATACTAATACTAATATTAATACTAATACTAATACTAAAATTAATACTAATACTAATACTAATACTAATATAGATACTAATACTAATACTAATACTAATATTAATATATATACTAATACTAATACTTTGAATAGTTGATGTATAATACGGTATAATAGAAAAAAAAAATTAAAAACAATATCAATTAATTTGATTAAAGTACCGAAATAAAAAAATTAAATGAAACTTGAAATAATTAATTACTTTAGAATTAAAATATCATTAAAATTAGTTTAAATGAAAATTGAAATAAAAAAATTAAATGAAAACTGAAATAATCCTATCAATAAAATGAAAATAATAAAATAATAAAAGATACGTAGATTTGGTGTGGGAAAAAAATCTGGATAATTCCTTGAAAAAACGTAATTACTTTAGAATTAAAATATCATTAAAATTAGTTTAAATGAAAATTGAAATAAAAAAATTAAATGAAAATTGAAATAATCTTATTAATAAAATGAAAATAATAAAATAATAAAAGATACGTAGATTTGGTGTGGGAAAAAAATCTGGATAATTCCTTGAAAAAACGTAATTACTTTAGAATTAAAATATCATTAAAATTAGTTTAAATGAAAATTGAAAAAAAGAAAAAAAAAATGGTATAAAAGAATTCATAACACAATAATATATCATTAAAAGATACGTAATTAGTTTAAATGAAAATTGAAATAATAAAATAATAAAAGTAAGAAATAAACAATAAAAATGAAAATTAAAATAAAAAAATAAAAAAATGGTATAAAAGAATTCATCACACAATAATATATCATTAAAAGATACGTAAATTAACATTAAAAGTTAAAAATAATTAAATGACAAATGTAGCCATAAAATGAGCGGGAAAAAAACCCTAGGGTTTCACCAGAACAACCTTACTTTTATTTCATTAAAAGATACGTAATTAGTTTAAATGAAAATTGAAATAATAAAATAATAAAAGTAAGAAATAAACAATAAAAATGAAAATTAAATAAAAAATAAAAAAATGGTATAAAAGAATTCATCACACAATAATATATCATTAAAAGATACGTAAATAAACATTAAAAGTTAAAAATAATTAAATGACAAATGTAGCCATAAAATGAGCGGGAAAAAAACCCTAGGGTTTCACCAGAACAACCTTACTTTTATTAATAAGATAAGATTATTGGATATTATGTTGTGTTTATTTTTATTTAATTTTTTAACTGAATTTAATAGTCATTAGTTTTACTTTTATCAACGTGGATGTTCTTATTTTTGAATATTATGAACATTTTAGAAAATCTCGGCTAATTTTTGAAATTTTAAAGCTTATGTGATTTCCGATTTTTTTCCAAAATTCCGAAATTTCCGAGCCTTTTGGAATTGGAATGAATTTTTAGATTCCGAAATTTTTGAAATTGGAATTGGAATTGGAATTGATTTTGTACTTCCAAATTTTTTTGGAAATTCTCCCAAAAGGCTTATTCCAAAAAAGTAAAACTAATGACTATTTTAAATGTATACTAATCCCTCAAATTCGGCATACATCTTTCAAACTTATTTTAAATGACACATATGTTGAAGTATAATGAAAAGTTGAAAACAATATAATGCAATTTTAAATCTAATTAAAAAATAAACACCTAACCTCTTTAAAAATTATTTATATTTATTACTAAAATAAATTCAGTATTATTAGATATAGTATAACATAAAATTTAATTATTTATTATTAATATATTTTTATGGTAACCAAAAGTAATTGCTCCTATCAATCACTCTCTACGCACTTATCTCTCTTATATAAATGAGCCCTGGAAAAAAGAAAAAGAAAAGTTAAATGAAGGAAAATAAATAAATGCAAATCTTTTTCCTAGAAAAAGCCGAAAATTCACGTGTTTCTATATATCGCTTCTCTGCACCCCCTTTCTCTCTCATCTCTCTCTCTCTCTCTCTCTCTCTCCTCTCTCACTTTCTCTCTCTGAAACTATAAATACAGATAGATACATAAGACATTTTTGATCATCGTAAAGCCCTAGTTATTCGCCTTTCAGTTTTCACTCCCCACCGTAATAGCATTTATATTTGTGCGAATTTGTTTCCGTGAATTTTTTCCGGAGTGGCGTTGGAGTCGGCGGTGGCGGCGGCGGCGGTGGTGGTGGACTGAAGGAGTTCGAGCTCTTGCTGTATGTCAGTAGATTGCGGTACGCATTGCGGTGGATCCGGTGAGCTTGCGAACCAGTTACAATGGCCACAACTCAGAAAAAGGCGACGTTTCCTGCTCCGACAAAGGCTGATTGTTGCCCTCCCCCTTCCGCCGTAGTCCGGCGGGAATCTGCATCCGCCACCTCAGCTGCTGATTGGACCGTCTCTTCGGCCGCCGCTGAGCAGACGAAGAAAGCGGCTGCTGCGGCATCGTTAATTACGACGGAGCCTTCTTCCAGTACCCCTGCTAAAGGTTTTTCCCCCTTTTTTTTTTCATTTTCGTTTGTCAAATGCGATCATATTGCCATTTATTTCGATTTTTCTGTTTCTCGTTTCTGATTAATATGCTGGCAATATATGCATGTGATATGCATTGATCAACATCTTGAGTTCATGTTATTGATCTCTGGATCATATTGTGGGCTAGTTGTATGGATTGATTCGATTGATTAGTTTTTTGTTCTTAGTGTTGGGGATGATCTTATAATTTGTCCGTGTTTGTCTCCAGATCATCTCAATAATTAAAAAAAAAAATTGTATGTGATGTTGATTATTTTGTATTTGAAAGTGATCATTAGTCCTGTAATTTACGAACCTTTGGCAAAACGGAGAATATTGTTCCAGGATGAAAAATCTATTGAAGTTATAATGATTGTTTCTTAAAGTATATTTAACATTTTCATAAAATTATGGGATTGGTGCTTTCTTTAGAGGTTGACATATGAAGTGGACATGCTTTTAGGCATATTAGGGAATTGTTTTAGGTCTATGAAGATGCTTATTTTTCTATAGTACCTAGTTTTTGGTATCCTTAATGAAATAGAAATAGTGATGCCTACTGTACAAATCATCATCATTGGGGGACTCATTCTTGTTATGATAAAGAGTGTTGTCCTTTGACCTGTTTTTATCTTTTGTTTTAAAACTCGCGATCACGTTGCCCTTTTATTTTGCATCTGTTCTTATCATTTGGGTGTCACATCAAGTTAGTCCGTAGGCAGAGTATTTCTTTAAGTTTCACAATTTTAAAATTTCTCTGTTTCATTTTTTTTTCTCTTTTTCTTATCATTGTTCTTCCTGTACAATATTGATTGCTGGTCTCTACAACAATTTACAAAAATGATTTATTTTGTGCTCTTGTGTCTATGTCCGTTTATCTCTTAGTTGTACACAAGGTTTTTATTAATTGCAGTTGGTAATATAATGTTTGTTTTCAAGGTTTTTGGATGGTTTATTTGCTACTACTTTCATTGTAATTTTTATCCCCCTATAGCAGTCAGTTAGAAACTCATTCAGGAAAATGCCAAGTTAGTTACATATACTACAGTTAGAAAATTGTTAAGATTACACTACATAGGATAATTTTGGTTAGCTAATGATTTTCTTATTCAGGTATTCAAGTCATGCCAAGGGCTCAAACCAAACATCCTTTGGATCCTTTATCTGCTACTGAAATCTCTGTGGCTGTGGCAACCGTCAGAGCAGCTGGAGCTACCCCCGAGGTTCACAATAGCTTATTATTGATATGATGTGCATTTGATTACTATCTTAACTTAATCTTGTTCTGTTGGATTTATCGATGACTCTTTCACCTTTTTTTTTTTTTTCAGGTCAGAGATAGTATGCGATTTGTTGAAGTGGTTCTGTTGGAACCAGAGAAGCAAGTTGTGGCTCTGGCTGATGCATACTTCTTTCCTCCTTTTCAACCTTCATTGTTGCCTAGGACAAAAGGAGGGCCTGCTATCCCTAGTAAGCTTCCACCAAGGCGAGCCAGACTTATTGTCTACAATAAGAAGTCTAACGAGACTAGTCTGTGGGTTGTTGAGTTGACAGAAGTACATGCAACAACTCGAAGTGGACTTCATCGAGGAAAAGTCATTTCCTCTAAAGTTGTCCCTGATGTTCAGCCACCAATGGTATATTGATTCGTTTTCCTATATGATTTTCGTTTTCTTTAAAAGTATGGGCTAATAATAAACCTTTGTGGTTTGGTCTTATGGATCATATATCTGGTTTTGTTTTCTGGTAGAATGGGACAATATTCATGAGGTTTACATGGTATTACATGATTTTGTTCGCTAAATTTCTGTTCCTTTTCCCAATTGTAGGATGCTGTAGAATATGCTGAATGCGAAGCTGTTGTGAAAGATTACCCTCCATTTATAGAGGCAATGAGGAAGAGGGGAATCGATGACATGGATTTAGTCATGGTTGATCCTTGGTTAGTAAATTATAAAAAATATTTGCTCTGAACTAGACCTTATTAAATATACTAGTTACAAATGTCTTGTTCTTTCGATACCTACTACAGGTGTGTTGGTTACCATAGCGAGGCTGATGCTCCTAGTAGGAGACTTGCAAAACCACTTCTATTTTGCCGGATCGAGAGCGATTGCCCCCTCGAAAATGGTTATGCACGACCTGTTGAAGGAATTCATGTGCTTGTTGATATGCAAAATATGGTTGTAATTGAGTTTGAAGATCGTAAGATTGTTCCCTTGCCTCCAGCTGATCCGTTGAGAAATTATACTTCTGGTGAAACAAGGGGTGGCGTCGATAGAAGTGATGTGAAGCCCCTTCAAATTATTCAGCCTGAAGGTCCAAGCTTTCGGATCAAAGGACAGTATGTTGAGTGGCAGAAGGTACATTCTTTTTTCTCCTTTACCTTTTACTTGTCTTATTTGTATAATTATTAACCGGATTGAGAGATAGAATCATTGTTCATATGCTTGTTGACAGTGGAATTTCCGCATTGGTTTCACACCGAGGGAGGGTTTGGTCATTCATTCAGTTGCCTATGTTGATGGCAGTAGGGGTAGGAGACCCATAGCCCATAGGTTGAGTTTTGTGGAGATGGTTGTGCCCTATGGGGACCCAAATGATCCTCACTACAGGAAAAATGCATTCGATGCTGGGGAAGATGGCTTAGGGAAGAATGCTCACTCTCTCAAGAAGGTTTCCACTCATTTTTCACTTTTTACTGTCTTTTATTTCAAATTTGTTGCACTTCCGCAGCCTGAAGGTACTTCTCTATTTCAGGGATGTGATTGCTTGGGATATATAAAATACTTCGATGCTCATTTTACAAACTTTACTGGAGGAGTTGAGACAATTGAGAACTGTGTATGCTTACATGAAGAAGATCATGGAATCCTATGGAAGCATCAAGATTGGAGAACTGGCCTTGCGGAAGTTCGAAGATCGAGGCGTCTAACTGTTTCGTTTATTTGCACTGTGGCGAATTATGAATATGGGTTCTACTGGCACTTCTACCAGGCAAGTGGAATGCATTCACTACTTGGAGCTTGCGTTTTTTTGTTTTTTTTAATATATATATTTTCATATAAGATGACGGGAGATGGGAAGTTTTGACAGACTCCAAAATATGGCATGACGTTGCATATACTTACTCTATAAGTTTGCCATTTTACTAGAACATAATATTCATTTAGTTGCCTGTATTCAACAAGTAAATTCATTGAGAAATATGAAACAGAGTGTGAACAGGACTTTTGTAAGCCAATGATACTAGTGTAGGTTGAAACTCCCAAGTTTGAAATAAATAAATTATAAATAGTGTCGCTGTTTTTTGCTGCAAGAAGCTAAGGGTCATCTAGAAACAGTGACTGAACTAAAGAATTTCTGTTTGATCATCCATGATCTAAGAGTCTGTTTTTGCGTGCAGGATGGGAAAATTGAGGCGGAAGTTAAACTCACTGGAATTCTTAGTTTAGGGTCTCTGCAACCTGGAGAATTTAGAAAATATGGTACGACAATTGCACCTGGATTATATGCTCCAGTTCATCAACATTTTTTTGTTGCCCGTATGGATATGGCAGTGGACTGTAAGCCAGGAGAAATGCACAACCAGGTATGTGATCCTATTTAGTAGTTTTTAATGTTCATATATTCTGTTATAACATCAAGAGGCATAGAGTGTACAATCAGGCTGCGTGATGTTGATTCAGTATTTAAATATAAATGTATTTTAGCAAACCCTTTTGACTTGTAAAGCCCCCTTAAAACTCAAAATTTATTTGTAGTATACCACAAATAGAGTGCATTATAGTGTTTACAAGATGATTGAGTTTTATTTGTTATGTTTGATACTATTCCCATTATATAGGTTGTTGAAGTGAATGTCAGAGTCGAAGAACCTGGGGAAGAGAATGTTCACAACAATGCCTTCTACGCTGAGGAAACTTTACTTAGATCCGAGCTAGAAGCCATGCGTGATTGTGATCCATTATCCGCTCGTCATTGGATCGTAAGTATCACGTCTCATTCTGTGAAATGTTTGTTTGGTATCAATTATATTTACTCTTGAGTACCTCTTAGAGAATGGACATTTATTTTTCCAATAATATGGATACATTCCTTTTTTTTTTGGCTAAAATTCTGTCTTGCATAATTTACGCCATTGTTAATATTTATATAAATTCGAGGTATTCTATTCAATATTGCAGATAAGGAACACAAGAACTGTCAATCGTAGTGGAGAACTGACAGGCTACAAATTGGTTCCTGGTTCAAATTGTTTGCCTTTGGCTGGCCCCGAAGCTAAATTTCTACGAAGAGCTGCATTTCTGAAGCATAATCTTTGGGTTACACAATATGCACCTGGTGAAGATTTTCCCGGAGGAGAGTTTCCTAATCAGAATCCACGTGTTGGGGAAGGGTTGGTTTCTTGGGTGAAACAGAACCGGCCTTTGGAAGAAACTGATGTTGTTCTCTGGTCAGTTTCCATATAGCGTCAAAAAATGTTTATTTCTTCTTTCCATGGAAATATTTTTCCGAACATCAAATGATTAACGAGCATTATCTGTAATTAGGTTCTCATATTTAACATATTGAGTATTGACTGGGCTTCTATCTCCCCCTAATTTTCACGTATTTTTATTCATGTAGGTACGTATTTGGCATTACACATGTTCCCAGATTGGAAGATTGGCCTGTTATGCCCGTGGAACACATTGGTTTTGTGCTTCAGGTATGTGTTCTTAATGATGCAATACCGATATGTTGTGTTATATACTGAAAAATAATATCCTATACCATGCCTAATTATTCGTTACGTTCCATATTTTAGTTTTCACATTTCAGTAATTGTATTTGTTTTCCGGATACGTCACGAAAACTAGCAAGTCCTTCAGTTTCGTTCCTCGAATCTTTACTTCTGCATCGTTTCCATACGCAACAAAAGTATTCATTGAATATTTTTTCTCTTCAGTTGATTTGCAAAATAAGTTCGCATATAATGATTCGGTGGTAGTAAATTGTAGAATACGAGCTAATAATCTTAGACATTGACTTTTACTAAGTTAATAATGGGCGATGATTCAGCCTTAGTTAATAATGGGCGATGATTCTTCAACGGCCATTCTCTATTGGTGTAAAAATTGGATTAGTTTGTTATGCTGATTCCTAATCAATGTTATTTTGACGGTTCCTGTTGATCACGTAATCTTATTTTCTTAACCAAGTCTCTTCCTACGGGTGCGTATAAAAACGCGCATCCTATTCAGTACTCCACCAGGATTTATTTTTTGGCTAATTTCTATGTGCTTAAGAAATGCTACATTATGTTTTGAAATTTCCTGAGTTTATTAATTTATGATTTATTTGATTGTGGGTGCAGCCGCACGGTTTCTTCAATTGCTCTCCTGCCGTTGATGTTCCGCCCAGTGCATGCGAGTTGGAAGCAAAAGAGAACGACGTGAAAGATAGTGCTGCAGCTAATAAGGCGAGTTCGTCGTCTGGTCTAGTAATGGCAAAGCTGTGAAGGGAAAGACATTTATCGGTGTTATATCAATGTGTGCGAAAATAGGCCTGGTATTGAGAGTCAATAATGGTGGGTTTCGGCGTGCCTGTACATATGCGTGGATTTAATTTCAGTTGTTTGTTTTGCTAGTTTGTTTTGAGACTAAATATTTGCTTGTACCATATATTATGACTGTTGTGAGAACTTTGTCTGAATGAGTTTGAAGAAGAAATAAAACGCACAAGATTCCACAGCTTCATTATTTTAATTTTTTTATTATTATTTTTGTTTGGGTGTTCATTCAGCCGGTAAATAGACCGAACTAAATTGTATGAAAACTCGGTACGTGCCAATTACCGAACCGAAATTTCGTGCCAATTACCGAACCGAAATTTCGGCTTGGTATTCGACAAAGATTTTTTGGAATTCAGCTATTTGGTACAGCACAGTATACCGTACCGAATACCCAAATTTTTAATAAATATTTATGTTTTAGTTTATTTTTAAATTCTTTAAGGTTATAACAAAATTATAAAATTATTTTGATAATTTTATCCATTGTTTACAACTAATCACGTTTTGTTTTTAGGGACGATTATGGAAACGTGAATATTGAAAAGTATTTTTAAATTAGTTTAAATATATTTTTTTTACAGTTTACTAAATATTAAAATATATTTTTGGTTTTGCAGTTACCGAACTGCAAAAACCGAATTAACTAGGTACAAAACCGTACCGAACTGAATAGTCAATTCGGTAAATTGTACAAATTTGATTTATCGAAATTCTAGTTCGGTATTACCGAATGAACACCCCTATTAGCTCTCTTGATGAAGATGTTTCTAGAAGGGGTTTCAATAAGGAAGATTTTATAAATTTAATGTTTTAGATTCACTCTAAAGTCAACCAATTCGACATGATCAGATTGTACGATCTAAATTTGAAATTTCCATGGATTAAGAATGAAGATCTTTATCTAAAAAAAATATGTTCATTACCGAATAAGTAAGACAAATCGTGATACACACATCGATCAATCAATAAAGAACTGAAATTAGTAGACCAGGAGAAACCCGAAGTACTTATACTCAAGTTCGATTTTCCCGCTATACACATCCATGAATAAATAAAGCTAGATTTGTATGCACAAGCGTAGCCGAATCAGTAGAGTAGTAAAAACTTAATATCTTTGTACTCAAATTCGAATTTTATGCTAATATTTTCTCAGCACACAAAAATTCTCGATTTTTATGCTAATATCTTTGTACTTCCTTGTACTCGAGTTCAATATTTTCTCGATCGACAAGGTGGTCGCACATAACTTGCTTAATTCAACATTACAATTTGCTTTCTTAAAAAGGAAAAAAAAAAGGAAAAATTGTAGAGATTAAAACATTATTGCTTATCCATGTTGGAGTGGAGTGACAAAAGTAGTATTCCAATTAATGATTTAAAGAAAATAAAAATAAAAATAATAAAAAGAAAAGCGAAAAGAAAAGGTCGGGTTTTTAAGTAAAAACCTGAACCCAGATATTGGGGCGACTTTCGTTGAAATCTGAAAATTACAGTCTTCAAATTTAAATTTATGAGAAAAGAAAAAACAAAACCACAATTACGCAATCGATCCATCATTCAATTTTCCAATTCCAAGCCCTAATTTCTGTCGCCCAATTCCAAACCCCTCCAATTACAATCCCCAATTCCAAACCCCCTCCCCAAAATCCCTAACCCCTACAATTCCCTCCCTCACAGTTGTTTGCTACACCTTTAATTTTCATTTCCATACATTTCGACGTCAATGAAGTAGAGAGGGTATACGCAAAGGTAAGCAGCTTTGTGTATATATATGTATATGTATGTATTTTTTTTTTCAGTCTGAATGGCGTGCATTAGCTTCGTGTTAAGAATCATTCATCATGGGATTACGCGCACGAGCAATCTAAATCTGTTTTTTTTCCTTTCGCTTGTTTATGGTATATGACTCATCAAGTACTATGAAAGTTTAAATTTTTTGGTATGTTGAGATAAGTTTTTTTAGCTTTGTTCTGATCGCACTTTTCAATTTTCTGTTGTCCCAATGGAAGTTGGCCCACGTGCTTGATTCAGAAGGCCTGTAAAAGAATTTCTGGCTTTGTCTCTGCTATGACGTGGGTTGTCCCAATCTTGCGAAGAAACTAGCGTTGTAGATTGGGGCGGCGTGTATTTATTCGGTGCTCGATGCTGGTGGCAGCATGCAGATGATTGTTGGAAGAGATGCAAAGGTATCATGCTGGCAGCTGCGGTAGCGCAGTCAATAACATTCCAAATCCCGGAATACAAGCTAGGGATACTTTCCGTGCTGATCCATCCACTGTTCCTCCTAACTTTTCACTGAATTCAAGGTACTGATTCTTACGGTTTCGTAATAAATATGCCTTTTCACATTCATGTATGAGTGGAGGTGTGGGTTTAGTTTGTACGTAGTGGATCACGATTCACCTAGCTGAACGTTGCATGGAAACAGCTTTACGTTGATTGATTAGCTGTCAATTTTGAAAATTTAGTACTTTCGCCACCTTTAATCTGTTCTTATTTTTTGTCGAGTTGTGTGACATTTATTTTATAATCAATTAAAGTCACGATGCCATTTTTTTTCTACCTATAAATGCTTCCCTGTACGTGCTTGTTTTTGTTTATGAGGTATTTAATATGTGAAAGATAAAGCTTAAATCTGCTTTAAGATCGTTACATATCATTAGCATATTTAGATAATATGATTCATGAAGCTGACTTAGAACATTTGATTGAAATAACCATTTTCCAAAATAAAAACTATTTGTATCATAGCTTTATTTCTTGTTATTGGAAGTGGTAAATTCTCAAGTGTATTTATTGCTAGAGTGGGTGTTTACACCTTTTTATTTAGACACAATTCTCTATTTATGGACACTGATGCTTGAAACTTAAATAGAGAATAGACTGGCTGAAATACAGAGGTTTTATTGGTATGAAAACATAGTTAATTTGTAGTTAAAGTAAATCAAGACTAAGGTTAGTGAAGTAGGAATGCGTTATACTTATTAGTTAAAGTACTCTTTCATTAGGTTTGTAGTCTAAGGCTCTAAGCATAACATTACGGTAATTGTATTGTGGCAAATCTGATGATCTAAGTTACCATTTTTATCAATTATGGAATCATTGCCACTAATTTGGTATGTGATTGTGATGTCTTATATGTACCATGCCATGAACAATTGTCTTTTTAAAAAAACATTCTACATTCAAAGAGATTTTAGTTATTGGATTTTGCTATAATCCCTTGACTGTATTTTGTAAGAGTATATTTTCTTTCTTTTGCTTCTATATTCTAAGCATAAGATTTGGTAATTGTATGATGGCAAATCTGATGATTAAGTTACCATATTTATCAGTTATGGAATCGATACCAATAATTTGGTACGTGATTATGATGTCCCATGTGCACAAAACAATACTCTTCCTTCCGATATGAGCAATTCCTTTTGTTTATTTAAGTATCCCGCATTCAAAGTGATATGTTAGTTATTGGATTTTTCTCGGACCCCTTACCCTTTGTCTCGTAAGATTATAAATGTTCTAACTTCTAAGCATACCATTTAGTAATTGTATTGTGGCAAATGTAATGATTAAGTTACCATTTTTATCAATTATGGAATCAATACCACTCATTTGGTGTGTGATCATGACGTCCCCTATTTACCATGTAATACTCTTCCACTGTACTTTTGACATGAGCAATTCATTTTCCTTAAATATTCTACGTTTGAAGAGATTCTTTAGTTATTGGATTTTCTTTAACCCCTTACCTTTTCTCTGGTAACAGTAGATTTTATTTCTTTTGCTTATATCTGCTAAACATAACATTTAGTTTTCATTGTTATCAATTATGGAATCGATACCACTAATTTGGTATGTGATTGTGATGTTCCTTATTTACCACGATTCTGCTTATAAAGAGGTTTTCGAGGTATTTGACGTTGCTTTAACTGCTTACCCTTTGTCTACTCCCAGTAGATTTTCGTTCTTTTATTTTTATGTTAGATTAGATGTGCACGTTATAGGTTTGTTAATCGTTTATCTCATACAGTCACTGTTTATCTTGTTCCTTTAAATCACTTTACATTAGCTATTGAAAACACATTGCATCAAATAGTCTATGTTTACTTCATTGTCGACGTTATTGAACCATTATGTGGTGTGTTCTTCATTTTTGTTGAATTTTCTAAGCTATTTGACACTTTAGTGGCATGTTTATCTTGTCATCTCAGAAGGTCTGCACGGCCAACACCATACGAATTGAGGTGTGATAAAGAACAATTAAATTCACGGTACGCAAGATATAACCTTTATCCTTTTCAATCAAACCAATAAACATATTATTCTTGGTGCATGTTATAGCTCTATGAAACTAAAGTTCTTGTTGGTTTAATTTTTCTTTCAATGTATATTAACTATTATGCCAGAGGATTAGGAATATGTTCTCAATATTCTCATTATCATTCTTAGCTTTCAACGGCTAGCACCTAAAATTATTCTCAATTTCATTTTGCAACGTATCATTGCCCCTGCCTTACTTGCTGTATTCTAATATTACAGTCTTGGGCCACCTGACTTCCAACCACCAACTCCAAATTGCGCCGAGGAGACGGTTAACCGGGAATATGTGCAATCTGGTTACAGAGAGACCGTTGAAGGACTTGAGGTCGTCCTTACAATTCCTTTGTACATATATATGGTATAAAGATTTCCCCGATGCAATTTTAATGTTTGTACTTACATTTTTTTTTATATGGTGAAACTAAATCAGGAAGCTAGAGAGATATCATTATCGCAGGTTCAGTTTTTCAATAAGCCCGTCATTCTCAAGTGCAAAGAGGTGCGCAGAAAATATAAAATAGGAGGGACTTCTAGTCGTGTTTTTTCCTCTTACTTTGGGAGCATACTCCTACCTGCTTTTATGGTGTATATGGTATAGTGAAATTTCTAATTAAACTCTAACTCACTTGTAGGCAATCAGAAGATGTCACAGAGCTATTAATGAGTCTCGTTCCCAAAAACGAAAGGTGTCGCATTTCTTCCTTTGTCCATCATTAAATGGAGATAAAAAATTGTGTTCCATTACTTTGAAAGGGATATACCTAACAAATGTTTTTTCCACAAACATGAATTTGTTTATGTTTCAACACCTTCTGTATACTGATAGACAAACATGACGAAACATATTCTTCATTTACAGGCAGGTCAAGTTTATGGAGTGCCACTTTCTGGTACAATATTGAGCAAGCCTGGTATCTTCCCTGAGCTAAGACCATGTGGAGAAGACTACCGGAAGAAATGGGTCGAGGTTTGTCTTTTCACTTTAAATTTTGTCAAATTGTTGGATTAGTTGACAAATATATTCTCTTTCTATTTCACCAAATACTTTCCATTACTACCTGACCCTTGTAGAGATGGGGGTCTTGTTTATTTTATAGGTATAAGATATAATATTGCAATATAAAAAATGTGATATTAATTTGTGTGTTTCAGCATATAATGCACATGATCTGTAGTTTGGTATGCCTTACATACAACATCACATCATAAATTTTTTTCCCCTAGCAATCAGACAGCTAATATTGTTTTCTGTAACTTTTTATTCTTCTTTATGGACAAAAACCTAACACCAAACAGAGTGTACAAAATGCCTAATGGAGATCCATACTGGTCTTTGACAAAATTGTATGCTCATGTCTGTGAGCTGTTTTTTGTGTACGATGCTGCTGCAGTTTTGAGCTAGCCAATCATCATCAAACCTGGCAATTACTAGAAGAATAAGGACACGCATGTTGTATTGGATTCTCTAATATTCCATTTTGCTTATTATACGGCTTCATGTGTATGTTTTAAATCTGGTTCATAGTAACAGCCATGCTGTCAGTGGATCCTGCAATTTGATTTCTGACACCCCCGCGTGCATTTTGATATGGGAATTTTTAAATACAATAGAAGTCAGTGGATCAAAATAATTGATTAATAACGCCCATAAGAAGTTTAAATCTTATTGTTTAGGTTGTGGTACTTAAGTTGACTAATTAAAGTGTGCAGTTAATTTTCTGTATCTTCTCCTGCTCTAAATAATTTTCTTGATGTGGATTTGATCTTTCATAGGTAAAATTTCTAATTTCAGATTGCTGAAATATTTGTATTCTTCTCTCTCCAGGGTTTATCTCAACCGCATAAAAGATTGCGTTCATTGGCGGACCATGTACCACATGGTTATAGGAGGAAATCTCTTTTCGAAGTTTTAATTAGGAATAATGTTCCGCTGTTGAGAGCAACGTGGTTCATTAAAGTAAATTATCTTAATCAGGTATGGATTTCAGGTTAAGAGAAAAAGTGACTGCCAGCCTTTGTTTAACCGATTAGCTTTTCTCAGTATTTGAAGATGGTGGATTGTTGTCTAATCTTGCAGGTTCCTACGACCTCTTCTAATTCATCATCTGGGTATCATGACAAAACTCAATTTTCACGTTCACAGCAGTGGACGAAAGATATCATCGAGTACTTGCAGTTTCTGTTGGATGAGTTTATTGTAAGAAACAATACTCATTCAGCTTTGCATACACGAGACAGATCGTCACAAATGGCTTTTGCTGGTTTAATGCAACAAAAAGGCGATTCAAATTCAGCTGTAGTAGATGGTGAGGAGCCTTCACTGTCCACTAAATGGTGGTATGTGGTGAGGATTATTCACTGGCATCATTCGGAAGGACTGGTTATTCCTTCTTTGATTATTGATTGGGTTCTTAATCAGCTTCAGGTACATATTCTGATTCTTACCTGTATATTTTCGATATGCCAGAAAGATTTCCCACCTATGTTTTGCTTGTAATGAATATGTCGTCCTTTTGGGTTCTTACTTATCAAATCATGTCACTGTAGGAAAAGGAATTGCTCAGTGTTCTCCAGTTGCTATTGCCTATTATATATGGTGTCATAGAAACTGTGGTTTCATCTCAGACTTATGTGCGTACTCTGGCGTGGATCGCTGCTCGATTCATCCAAGAGCCTTCTCCGGGTGGTTCTGACCTCGTCGATAATTCTCGGCTTGCATACACTACTGCCGCTGTTGTTGAGATGCTTCGATATCTAATACTAGCTGTACCCGATACTTTTATTGCTTTGGATTGTTTTCCTTTGCCTAAGAGTGTGATAAGTCATGTGGTAAATGATGGAAGTTTCTTATCCAAAGTGGTTGACAAATCTAGGAAAGTGAAGTATGGTCAAGTTGAAGTTGCTAGTTTCCCTAGAGATAGAAATCAGGAGGTTCAAGCCGAGTCCTCGTCCTTTCGAAGTGTTGTGTCATCAATACAAAAACGGGTGGAGACTCTTTCAAGAGCAGCCAAACCTAATCACCCTGGTCATAATGTAGCTAAAGCCTTGCAGGTATTGGATCAAGCTCTCATGCATGGAGATATTGGAGTTTCATACAACTTGCTTTTGGAAAATACTTGGAATGGAGTTTCCGCTGAATATTGGGGTGCTGAAGTTAGTCCCTGTTTACGTTCGTCACTGAAGCATACTGGTACGGTGACATCATCATTGCTTTGCTCTATCTTTTTCATCTGTGAGTGGGCAACTTGTGAATTCAGGGATTTTCGTACTGCGCCTCCTCATGGGCTGAAGTTCACTGGTAAAAAAGATTTCTCTCAGGTGTTTATAGCGATGCGGCTTCTGAAACTGAAGTTGAGCAATATGTCTAGCTTGTACAGTTCAACCAAGAAATACAGAGATATTTTCAAGAGCCCTAGCCCTTTACATGATGTTATTGTATGTTGGATTGATCAGCATGAAGTGCATAATGGGGAAGGTCTCGTACAACTGCAGCTTCTAATAAGAGAATTGATTCAGTCTAATATTTTCAATCCCCTGGCATATTGTAGACAGCTGATTGTAAGTGGAATCATGGACGGGAATAGGCCTAGGGTTGACTTCGAAAAGCGAAAGAGACACAAGAAACTCTTGAAGCAGTTGCCCGCTTCCTATATTCTTGATGCTCTGAGAGAAGCTCAGATTGCTGAACCACCAAATCTTCTGGAGGCAATGAATGTTTACTCGAACGAACGCCGGCTGGTGCTCCATGGACTCTTAGGACACAAACCTACTCCTGGTGTGAAAAATGTTGCAAAGAAGCAAAAGAATCATCATACGTCTAGAGCAGACAATGCTTCTCAATCCTCTGTTGACCAATTGTACTTCCAGTCAACATCCAGGCCATCAACAGATGTCTGGCTTGAGGAATTAAAAGTTTCAATTTCTGTACTATTACAACTCCCTCACTCTTCATCGTCGGTAGACCCTGAAGTTGATGAATCTCAAGGGAGTGTTAGAAGGCCCGTTGGGGCTTATAACAGAACAGACGACAGCGAAGAAACATCTGGATGTGAAGAATGCAGAAGGGTGAAGAGGCAAAGATTAGGTGAAGAAATCAGTTCACTGCAATCAGATCCGTTAGACGACGAAGAGATATGGTGGATAAGAAAAGGGCTGCAATATACGGACACTTATAAAGCAGAACAACCTCCTAAGCCTGCCAAGCAGACTTCAAGGAGTAGGCCAAAATCTGTCCGTAAAACTCAAAGTCTTGCACAATTAGCTGCTGCTCGAATTGAAGGTAGTCAGGGAGCATCGACAAGCCATGTATGTGAAAGTAGGATAAGATGCTCACACCATCGAACTGTTTCTGATGATTTCAAAAATTCAGTTGGTGAGACCAGAAAACCACCCTCTGGAGATATTGTTTCAATTGGGAAACTTCTGAAGAAGATGCCATTTGTAGAGAAGAGGATACTGACTGTATGGTTGATATCTGTTGTAAAACAGCTTATTGAGGAGGCTGAAAGGACTAAAGTCCCCAAGGTTGGTCAATATGGTCGGCCATTACCTGCGGCAGGTGATCAAAGTTCCATGCGCTGGAGGCTTGGAGAAGATGAATTGTCAGCAATTTTATATATGATGGATATTTGTAATGAATTTGTTTCGGCAACAAAGTTTCTACTGTGGTTGTTGCCAAAAATTCCCAACAGTTCTGGTTCTGCCATCTCCAGCAGGAATACCATGATGCTTCCTAAGATTGCAGAGAACAATCTATGTGATGTTAGGGAGGCATTTCTTTTATCATCAATCCACAGGTGTGCTTTTATATTTCTCTCTAAACTGATTTTTCCTACTCGCTTTTGTGGCCGTCGGTTCATTGCTGACCGCCCCTCGCTGAAAAATCTTGTTAATTACTCTAAACATTTTATACTTGTTACGGGGGCATTGGACAATAAAGTACATATTAATATAAACCTCACTGGCTCGAACTCACAGTATTTATTCTGAATAACTTGTATATTCCTAATTGTAGTTTTAATTTAAGATGCATTGTTCTTTTGTAATTTATCTTCGAAGATGGCAAATTCTTTACTGCATTGTTTGGATAATTTAACTCTTATTGTTTATATGTTGGTTACCCAATCGATTGCAATAGAAGTGACTTGTATCTTACGCATTCATCTTTTTCCTTCTATTTCAGTTATGAAAATATAATTGTTGCAGCCGATCTTATCCCTGAAACGTTGTCTGCCACAATGGGTCGTGCTACCACATTCTTGGCATCTAAGGGCAGGATTTCTGGTTCGCCAGCCTTAGTTTATGCACGCCACCTTCTGAAAAAGTATGGTCATGTAGCTAGTGTTGTTGAATGGGAAAAGACCTTCAAGTCCACTTCTGATAAGAGACATAGTTCTGAAATTGAATTTGGGAGATCTTTAGAAGGGGACTCTGTCTTTAACCTGGGCGTCCCGAATGGAGTGGAAGATCTCGATGACTATTTTCGTAAAAAGATAAATGGTGTTCGAGTTTCTAGAGTTGGTGTGACCATGAAAGAAATAGTGCATAGGCATGTAGACGAAGCTTTTCAGTCCTTCTACAGCAAAGATAGAAAACCTTTTGGACCTGGAACAAATAAAATTTCTAGCATGGAGAAGTTGGACACTGGCTATCAGATAGCTCACCAAATTGTGACGGGATTGATGGACTGCATGAGACAAACTGGTGGTGCCGCTCAGGAAGGTGATCCTTCTTTGGTGTCATCAGCCATTGCTGCTATTGTTTATAATATCGGACATGTGGTTGCCAAAATTCCCGATTTAACTGCTGGCAGTAACCACTTAAACCCCCCTCCAGTTTCTGCATCATTCCATTTTGCTCGACGGATTTTACGCATCCATGTCACTTGCCTGTGTATATTAAAGGAAGCACTTGGAGAACGTCAGAGCAGGGTCTTTGAGGTTGCTCTTGCAACAGAAGCTTCCTCTGCTCTCATGCAAGCTTTTGCCTCTGGAAAGGCATCCCGTGATTTTAGTGCAAATTTACCTAACGAAACTTTAAACCATCCCGCTAAAGCAGTTGGAAAATCTGCAAGAATAGCTGCTGCTGTTTCTGCACTTGTCATCGGGGCAATTCTCCAGGGAGTTGCTAGCCTGGACAGAATGGTTACCTTGTTTCGGTTAAACGAAGGCTTGGATCTAATTCAGTTTGCAAGGAGTCTTAAATCCAATGCGAATGGTAATGCACGCTCTATGGGGGTTTTAAAAGTGGATAATATGATTGAAATCTCTGTCAATTGGTTTAGGGTGCTTGTGGGGAATTGCAGAACCGTTTCTGATGGGTTAATTGTGGAGCTGTTGGGTGAAGCCTCGATCGCAGCTCTGTCTAGGATGCAGCGAATGCTATCTCTGGATTTGGTTTTCCCACCAGCCTCTTCTATATTTGCATTTACGATATGGAAGCCCATTCTAGGTAGCATTGGAGTACGTGAAGATTTTGATCAACTGTCTCCATTATTGGCTGTTACTATAGGTGATGCCATAAAGCACATACCTTTTCGTGATATATGTTTTCGGGACACTAATGCTTTATATGACCTCATAGCTAAAGATTCTCTTGATTCTGAATTTGCATCTTTGCTGCAATCCAATGGCTCGGTCAGCAATGTGAAAGCTGCTGCATTGGTCCCTCTACGGTCCAGGAATTTTCTTGATGCCCTTATAGATTGTAAATTGTCTGAACCTGTAGTTAAAATCGATGGTGGAAATCGGATTTCTAGTCAAACTGAGTTGAAAAGGCAATGTGTAGAAAACGTGAAAAGAACCATGGGTAAGCTTGTACATGTTTTGGATACACTGCAGCCTGCAAAATTTCATTGGCAGTGGGTCGAGCTCAGACTCCTCCTAAACGAGCAAGCTGTTAGTGAAAAGATGATGGAGAATGATGTCTCCTTGAGTGATGCTATAAGATATCTCTCCCCTCACTCCGATGAAAGTATTGCTTCCGAAAACGAGAGTTATTTGGTTCAAATTATTCTCACAAGGTTATTGGTCAGGCCTGATGCTGCTCCCTTATTCTCCGAAGCCGTACATCTATTGGGAAAATCAGTCGAGGATTCGATGCTAACACAAGTAAAATGGCTACTGAGAGGTGCAGAAGTTCTTTACGGCAAGAAATCAATTTGGCAGAAGGTTATGAATATTGCAGCTGAGCTCAAAGAGCTGACTCTGAAGCCCCGATACTGGAAGCCATGGGGATGGGCCCACGAAGATAAAAACACAGCAGCTAAAAAGGGATACAAACGGAAATTCGAAGCTAGCACCATTGAAGAAGGTGAAGTTGTTGAGGAAGGAGCTGACTTTCTTGATGTTGAAGGTTTTATTGTCAGTAAGCAGCATTTGACCGAGAGAGCTCTTGTTGAGCTGATACTTCCGTGTTTGGATCAAGGTTCCGATGAACTGCGTAGTAGTTTTGCAAGTGAAATGATTAAGCAGATGAGCAATATTGAGCAACAAATTAATGCAGTTACTCGTGGAGCTGGCAAGGCTGCAGTTACCGTGATTGGAAGCCCTGTCAATAAAAGTGGGGCCCGCAAGGGCGGGAAAAGCGGTAGTCCCGGGTTAGTATCCAGGCAATCAACTGGATTGGCTGATGCTGTACCACCTTTTCCTGCAGCATTGCGTGCCTCCATGACTTTGAGATTGCAGTTCTTGCTCAGATTGCTCCCCGTCGTTTGTGCAGACAGGTAATATTACATTTTTTAATTTGCTCAAATTATTCATATAATCTCAGTTAACTGTTTCTATATTATTTTATAACTTAATTGATTAAATTAGCATTAAAAGCTATCTTATAAACAAATATTTTACAAAAAAATCTAAAGAAAATCTTCAGAGTTGTATATGATGCATTAAATGCATTAATTTTGTAACATTTTACCTAATCAACTTAATTAATCCACATTTTAACTTAGTGATAGGGATATAATAGGCATCACAAAAGTACACGGGATGCCCTTAAACTTACGAATTATCACCAATTGGAATATACTGCTTTTCAGTGATCGATTTCTTCTCATCAAATTGTTAAACTCTGCACTTGCTACATAATTGCTTTTCAATGACACGAAAAATGTTTTCCCGCTAATAATTCCGATATTCATTGCGTGTTTTTTTCAGGGAGACCTCAGGCCGTAATATGAGATACGCTCTTGCTTCAGTAATTTTACGTCTCCTTGGGAGTAGGGTTGTGCATGAAGATGCCTCTCATTTTCTTAATCCTGCACTGATTTCATTGAAGAGAGAGATCAATTCTCTTACCGATACTTCTCATTCTGCTTCACTCGATTGCTCGGAAAGTCTATTTGATTGTTTATTGTTGGTGCTGCACGTCTTGCTGAGCTGTCACCAGCCAAGCTGGTTGAAGACGAAATCTGAACCCAAATCTACCGAATATGCCATTTTTGACCGCGAAGTGGCAGAAAGTCTGCAGGTTTGACATTATTGACCCTCATATTATCTGTTTATTTCTTCGATTTTTTTACAACTAGTGAGTGACATGTGGATTTGCATGAAATTCGTATAATTTTAATAAATAATTTATATATTGTTTTAACAGTTTAAAGAATTTACGAAATATATTAAAAAAACATTCGTAATTTTAAAGGTAACAAATATATTGTCTCTTTATTGTATCTATGATGAATTTTATGCAGAATGAATTGGATCGCATGGAATTACCCGAGACAATACGGTGGCGAATCCAAACTGCAATGCCGATTCCTATTCCGTCTATTCGATGTACAACTTCTTGCCAGCCGCCTTCACTATCTCCTACTGTTCTTGCTTGTCTTCATCTCAGCCATCCAATAGCCTCGTTAGATCCTAGCCATTCGAATCAACCGCAAAGCAATCCAACGGACCAATGGACCCTTTTGGAAGATGGAGCCGGGTCGGGTCAACCTTCGCCCAAATCAATTGGAATCAACGGCCCAGATCATCCGAATTTGAAGGCGTCCAATTTGCTCAAGGGTGCTGTGAGAGTGAGGAGAAAAGACCTTACGTATATTGGTTCAATAGACGAAGAAAATTGATAATTCAACCCTAAACAAAATACCCTTTTTTCTTTTAATCTTTTTTTTTTCTTTTTTTCTTTGGGTGAGAAGAGTACACTGGGTATATCGATCGATCACCGTTTATTGACGTACAGAAAAAACGCACACATCCATGTTGGCATGTGTGAGTAGATGAATCGTAGATGAATTGACCTTTGTGGCGAGGAGGCTGCCTTTTCTGAATCATTCTTTTACCGAAAGCCGGGCCCCCCATTACTAACCCCTTTGATCGTTTCTAGATTATGGTTGGTCCGATTCATAGTTTGTCGTTGTATATGTATAGATATGTATTTATGTATGTATTCCTTTGTGCTGAGTTGACATATATATATATATATCAGAAATGGGGGTTTATTTGTAGCTTCTTCTATGCTCAGCAAATATTTTTGGTACAAATTATGTAAATTTATGATATGTGCCAATTTTATTTGGTCCACCTTATAATCCAATCAATTCCTTTGACACCTTGTGCTTGTGGTTTCTCCTTTTTCCAAGTCCAAATGGAATATATTACAATTTTTAGGAAAAAAAAAATGAAAAAAATTGTTCATAGTTCTTGTAATTTCTCGTGTTTCTTAGAACCTACACCTGGTGAATCTGACCATACGAATTGTTGATTTATATGCTTATTGGAATTAATCTTGTTTAGTTGTTACAGTTTACTTGTTAAGAAAATACTATGTTGCAATTATAATTCTTGTGTATACACGTACAGATTATAACTACTTAAGGCAGAATATATAACACAAAAAATCAATGTGGGTCGGACACTAAAGTGACTTACATCCATGTGGACATGCAAACAAGATTTCAATAGTCCAGATTTACAATGTTAATAGAACTTATTATAATATTAAAAACTCCCTCTTTAAATCAAATGTCGTTTTTTGACACGAACGTCTTTTTTTTTGTTCATACAGCTCCTCTATCCGCACTTTCTTTAACTTTTTCCAAGGCTGAACTCCCTTCAGTGAAAAATCTGTCGCCAACACAAGTATTTTCGTAACTATCGACTTTACATACATTCGCATATACGTTTGATTAAATATAGATTTATATAGTGCAAAGTGTAAAATTACTTTGATCTCATCACTTTTGTGATTTTAAGTTTTACTGTTTTTTTTTTTTTTTTGGCACATTAAAAAATAAAAACACGTTTATTTTCATTACTCTCATGCACTAGCACTCATGATTGAGGTCTAAATCCTATTAGTCAAGTTTCGTACTTATTTTTCTTTATACAGTAGAACCTCGATAAATTAATACCCGATAAATTAATAACCTCGCTTAAATAATAAATTTTCCCGGTCCCGACTCGGGGACAACGTGCTAAATTAATAATTCGCTAAATTTATAAGATAATACACATTCGAAAAATTTAAGAAGCCCCATATAATATATAAATTAATAATGCATAAAAATAATTCTTAAATTACATGGTATAGTTCATATTTTATAGATCAATGAAAGTTTCATACAATACAATCTAATTGTTGCTTGTTTCTGTTAAAGTTCACATTACCATAAATCTCGTCCCTCACTTTTCTTAACATAGTTAGAACTTTCGGTATAGTTTTGTCATAACTCAACATAAAATCGTTCTATATCATTGCTGCTTTAAGAGCTTCCGTTCGTGAAACGGGCTCTATAATGCATTGACGAATGGTACAATGAATAATATACACGTAAAATAATTAAAAAAAAAATGTATTTATTGAAAATAATAATAAAAGTAATTTCATAAATTAATAATTTATTAATTAATGTATAAATTAATAATTATTAATTTATCGATAAGTTAATATTTCGCTAAATTAATAAAATTTTGATGGTCCCAACAGTATTAATTTATAGAGGTTTAACTGTACTTGTGTCTGAATTTTGTCCAACAAAGTATTTAATATTTTCTTTTTCAATTATTTAATACATTTATTAGACTTAATTCACCATTAATCTATTTTTGGTATTTCTTCATCCATACAATTATATTCGAACCACACACATACACACACACACACACATATATATATATATATATGCATGTTACGTAGTCAGTTGCTGCAAACAAAAGTTAGATACAAAGGAGGTGCCAAAAATAGGAAATGAAAACTAACAGTCCATTCTAAGATGTCAACGTCCATGAACGATGGGTCAATAAAAACGTTGATGCCATTTTTAATTAATTATTTCTTGAATTTTAGCCACAGAAAAAAAATTAAATAATAAAATTAGAGGAAAAAATAAATAAATAAAATAAATAAATATCATCTGAAATGAAGAATAGATGGGTTCCAAATTTTGTTGGCCTCTAATGAGAGTTTAATCCAATTTATGTCCAAGAAAATGATGACATTATAGTACAACACTAGTATGAGTTCTACATCAATGTGTTTTGTGTGTGTGTGTGTGTATATATATATACACACACAAATATGTATACATAGGGTAAATTACGGAAACTCCCCTGAAGTTAGGCTAAATTACGGAAAATATCTCTACTTATTCGTAATTACCAAAATTTTCCTGATATTTATTTTCGTCTTACACCGACCCCCTTTACAGTGCGATTTTTCACATGATCTTGTTGTTTTTAGAAAATATTCTCCAAAAAATACCGATTATACCCCTAAGAGCAGCCTCTAAAAATATATGTGGCCTTGATATACCTTCTACAATAACATTTTTTTCTTCAACATCACATTGCAATATGAGCAGACTTTGCTCGATTGCTAATATGAACCATCATAATATATATATATACATATATGCGTTTTTTTAAACAGCGTGCATTGCTACCTTCAATCTGTTGACACCTGCAGGGTTATATCGGCATTTTAGGGGAATGTTTCATACAATAAAAAAGATTACGCAAACAATCATACCATAAGTAGATCGGTTTAAGACGGAAACAAAGATCAGGGGGATTTTGGCAATTATGGATTATTGGGGTGTTTTTCATAATTTAGCCTAAGTTCAGGAGTTTTTTCGTAATTTACCCATATAAATATAATGTGTGAATTGTCACGTTTAAGTAGACATAACTAACTATGTACTTGTTCTCATATACATGTCGTTCGAATACGGGGTTAATCAGATTCAAGAACATGGCTCACAAGGGTTTAGTGGTCATTATCCAATGACGTCATCTTTGTCTGATCCATTGCCACTCATCACAGCTGGTCCAAACATGCAGGATGATGCACCACTATTTCACCAAATATAACCACATCTCTCTCTCTCTCTCTCTCTCTCTCTCTCTCTCATGTTGTTGTGGTTCTTGATTTGTATTGGATATTTGAGGGAATATTGGTAAATAATGTTTCACCACTTATGTAAAAAAAAAAGAACAAATTAAAGGGTCAATTATTTCTTGCCAAGAATGATGTTAACATCTCTAGAAAGTTGATTTGATTATATTTATATATATATATATATATATATATACACTCGTTCGAAAAGTTGGTACCTAATTTTAATTACTAAAATGATAAATAACGGATAATTTTTTAGTACGTACGCGGCTTATTTTTTAATTACTCTAGATCAGTGATGTCGAAACTGGATTGAACCGGTCTGTCCGATTGGTCGGACCGTGTATAAACTCGAGTGTAAACTAATAAAATCAGATTTTCATAGTTTTTTACATTATAATATTTATTTTTATTATCTTCTTACTTAAATATTATTGTAATGTTTATGGATGATTAATAAAGTGAATTGGAGTCTTTTAAATTGATATTTCAATGATGTATATTTTATCTTAAAGGATTTTTACAAGGTAATTAATCAATTTATAAATGATTAAAAATAAAGAAATCATAATAAAAATCAACTGAACTGAGTTTATCTAGTCCCATTTTAAAAGCATTGTTCTAGAGTATAACATCTCTTTATTGCTTATTAGTACTAGTGTAGTGCCCCACCATAAACTACATAATCAATCAATTTTCTTTATCTTTTGGTAATCATATTTAAAATGACATAATGATGCTAAATAATGCTACATTAATTAATTAGTAGCCATCAAATTATGGAATTAATGAAACTAATTTTGACAATTAAATTAAATTGAACCAATAAAACTCAAATCAAATAGGGATTTATAATTTAAGCATTAGAGGGTAATCGATCATCGGATCAATTTCCCACTTTTTGCACCTCTTAAAATAAAAGAAAAATTTCATTTGAATTTCTTACATTAACCTTAAAATATCAATTGAGGTGCAACGTGAATGATTTCTTACATTTTCTGAACGTAAAAGAGGTATTAATATTTTTTAGGATACAACGTGTCAAACTGCTACACCTTAAGGGCGCAAAGTTGAATAAACCTTTCCCTCCTGAACTCAAAAGTCTTTCTAAATCTTTATATGCTACACCCGATGACGATTATTTCAGATGAATTTTTTACGGTCGATCTACACACCAGTGTAGATATATGTGTTCGTCTGTATATTAAATAATGATAAAGATTTGCCCGATGTATTTCTCCCCATACAACATAGTATAAAATCTTCAAATATTTTTGTCCTTACAAAATATTAATACAAACTATAGCAAATTAAAAACCTCTATCCCCATTAATTTTCGAACTTTTATGTTTAACCTATTGGCTATCAACACCTAAGGCCATCGTTTTGCAACATTATCAAGTGACAAAAAAGGTCCCAAAAATATTTATTATTTTTAAATAATAATAATAATAATAATAATAATTAATAATTACTAATTAATATAAATAATAATATTTGTAGTTGAGTATGTTTCTTGGTTTGCTCATATTTTAAAAGAATATAAGTCCATTTGAGGAAACTTGATGCTCGTGAGTCTAATTTAGTTACTATATTTGTATGTTACAAGAAACCCAACTGAAAAGCTAATCTCTAGAAACAGAAATTGAATTTATGAATGTAGTAAGAAAATGCCATTTCAACCAATTTTTAAATGATTTTAAATAATAAATGTTACACTAAATTAAGGGATTTTCGAGCTAGGAGAGAAAACGTGGACTAAATCTTACTTAGTATATCTTATTTATCTAGTTTCTTCGTAAATTATAAGATTATTTTATTTTATCGTAAAAATAGAAATTACCCTTAAACCATATGCATTAAAAAATTCATACCATATTAAGATACCTTAAGCTCAAAAGATTAAATATTATTAAAACACTTTAAATGGATTTAACTTTATGTTGAACTCATCGAATATTCCATACAACTAGGGTGAAAATTTTACGAGTTAAATCGAAATTAGCATTTTCAAAAAAAAAAATGGAAATGAAAAAGTAATTCCGACAACGTTTCATTAAATTTTGGGAAAATGGGATTCAGGAGTTTAAATATTGGAAAGGAAAAACTTGTTCCGAAATCGGAATTAAATTTTCGGATTGAAATCGATGGAATTTAGAATTTTTATTTTTAAGTCACCTATATAATAATATACACAATAACATTGATAGTAGTATAATTTTCGGAAAAGAATCATAATTTTTGAAAATTAAAATCAGGTCGAAAATCGAAATCTAATATGTATTCCAATTTTGTTACGAAAAATAAAAATTTGATTTTTTTTTGTGTGAAACCTTTTAGAAATAAAAAATTTCGTTTCAATTTATACTTCTACATACAACGTCTTTTGATAACGTTAATGCACTCGCAGACAATGGTGGCCCAATTAGTAGAATAATGAGAGCCAACATACAACGATTCGAGCTTATCTATGTTGTTAATACTTTTTAGGTTGAACTCGTCGCATAAAGCTTGTTCGTTATAGTTACACTTTTGCTGTGATTAACGAACTATTGCATGAATTTAAGGTTTATCCAGTGCACGTATTGCGTGTTCCTCGACCACGAACACCAAAAAAAAAAAAAAAAAAAAAGATAATGCACACATCATGTTGAAACATATAATTAAATGTAACAATTTATTGACATTGGGCCATACACCACCTAAAGTCCAACTAATCACGTGACAAAGAACTTAGTTTTACTTTTCTTATAAATTAAAGTCTAACCCATGTGTTTATGAATGTAAATTTATGTATTAATTAATCAAGATAATGATTATGTGCTTGGACACAATGTCAATTATATAGTACTCTTAAGGGACAAGTCCCATCAAATATTGATGTGTTATTATTTTATGTAACTTTTTTTTTTCTTATCAAATAATGACTATCAAAATTGTAATTAGTGTTATCACAAAAAAATATTGTTTTCCTCTATGTGCTAATTAAACAATAGTGGTGACAAGAAATAGGGGCAAAAAGGTCAACAAAGGTGGTCTAATTGGCAATTAACTCATTTTGAAGATACTTAAAGGCAATTATTGTATGACAAGATAAATCTAACTAACCAACTTTAAGATAAGCAATCATCATGCTATTAATACTGCCGAGGTGCATGAATATATATGATAAATCGAGACGAGCATTAACGGAGTCAGAATTTGAAGTATGAGGGAGTTAAATGCATTAAAAAGTTACGAGGAGGGTCGATTATGCTTTTATACACAATTTTTTAAATATTTTTATATAGGATAAATTACGGCCACTCCTGAGGTCAAATTACGAAAAAATCCTTCATGTTTGGATAATTACAACGAACCCCTCAACTATGAATCTTCTTAGATATCAACTCTTGCGGTGTCAAATTTAGTGGAATCCTCTAGATTATGTATACTCCAATTTATACCCGTTTTTCCTCAATTTTGGCTCCACATTGTGAAAACAAGATGATCATAAGATGTGTTCTTGGCTTGTAAAAACCAGACTGTGATGCATCAGAAATTGCATTTTTATACAAAACGAGGATAAACTAGAAAACATTCTACGGAATCTAGAAGGTATTGTTGAATTTGACACCATAAGGATGGACGTGTAAGAAGATTCATAGTTGAGGGAGTTGGTTGTAATTACTAAAATATGAGGGGTTTTTTTGTAATTTGAACTTACCTGAGGGGGTTGATAGTAATTTACCCTTTTATATAAAATAATAGAGACTTAGAGTAACTCCAACGGGGTTATTAAATGGGTTATCAAACCCTTAACCTCCATTTGACTCCCCAAATTTAAAAACTCTCTGCTCCAATAGGGTTATTAAAACAGAGTTCTATTTTGATAACTCATCCACCCGGAAGTAAAAATACATCCCAAATAAATAATTATCAAATATTTTCCTAAAAAATAGCGTGAAAAAAGAAAAACCTCAACAAAATTGAGTTTTATTTTCTTTACGTAAAAATCTCAACAGAATAAATTTAAATTACCCACGTATTCAACAAATTTCTACTGGAAAAAAAAATCTCAAAAAAATCTCAACATAATTTTTTTTTCTCTAGAGCTTCAACAAAGTTCCACGAAAAAAAAAAGAATCTCTATGTATATATACTTTTTTTTTTTGAAAAGGTAAAAACTTGATTAATATTGATTTTGAGGATAGTTTACCAGAAAAATCATTTTGTATGATTATTTAAAATGGATTAAAAAATAAATAATATATAAATAATCATAAATTTGTTTGATAATTGTTTTTTGAGACTTGTGGTTGGTGTTCACTAGTTGTATAGAGATGTCAAAGTATAATCCTGACTATCAAATGAGTATTTGATAACCCCATTTGATAACAATGGGTTGGAGAATTAAAATTGCGGTGGATATTAAAATTGTATAGAGTTGTCAAATTAAATGTTTGTGGTGGATAATTTTCACGCAATATCCAATTAAATATAATTTTATTAATTTTTTTTAAAAAAAAGGAGAGAGACAAACAATCACCCAATCTCAAAAGTATGATTATTTAAATGGGCTTTAATTAATAAAACAGGCCCAATAAGTAACGAAGAAAATATAGTAGGGTCTTGTGATTATTTATCGGGTCGTGAGTCGGGTCGGGTCGGGTCGGGTCGGGTCATGATCATTCATCCCCTGAAAACTGGACCCGAATCTGAATGTAACAGCACCGGTTGATCTTCTGCTTAGTTTGTAAATTCCGAGTTACAGACGGGCAGCAATCATCAACCTCCACCGTATCTAGTCCGCAATTCGTTAGCAGAAGAGGAATCTCCTTCAATCTGTAGCAGTGCCGGATAATCAACCGCTCCAGCGCCGGAAAATGGTTGTGCTCCGCTCCCCAATTCTCTATATCCAGATCTTCCATCAGCAGCACCTTCAGCTTCGGGAATTCCCCCTCGATCTCCCACTCCGGGCCGGAGAACGCGTACCACCGGAGCTTCAGCACCACGAGGTTCGGCAGTTCTCCGATCGCTCTCATATTCCGCCACGGGAACCCGCACCCGCTCAAGCTTATCTTCTTAATGTTCGCCGGAAAATTCGGAAGAATTTGGCACCTCACGAGGGTAGGGTTTACGATCACGCATTTGAACGACTCGAATTCGTCGTAGATGGAGGCGAATTGGTCGCCGCCGAGAAAACTCAGGGTTTCAACGGCGGCGGCATCATTTTCTAGTGTTGTTGTCTCGATCCGGATTCCTAACTTCGTTAGGTTAGGAATTCTGGCGAGAATTGTCTTTGTACAGCTGTGAGCGCCCACACCTGAAACTGTTAGAAGTTTCTCTAAAATTAGAGAATCATCGTTTGCAGGGGAAGGATCAGGGAGGTCAAATCCCATGCACTCCAGGTGTTTGAGTTTATGCAGCTTCCAAATTTCTACAGGCAGGTAAACTGGAGAATTCGAGTATTTTATGATCCTATGATGCCGATGGATAATCAAGACTTCGAGGTTCGAAAGGCGTGATATCGAAGCTGGTATCTCTCCGTCGAATGTGATTGCAAAGTACCTCAAATGAACTAGCTCCACTACTTGATGTGGAAACTCGTAAAACCGCATCGAAACAGCGTCTAGTACCTTGAGCAATCGAAAAGGCAAGTACAGCCTTATTGGATATTGTTGCTTTGGACCGAAACAAAGAAGAGAACGCGCGCCCGAAACTGATTCCATCCTAGTATGCACTTGTTCGAAACCAAGTACAATGTTGTTGTGTGTGCACAGCCTCCGCTGGCTATATATATCCGCTTGGAAACTGTCGACGTACTTTTTTATGATGCGGAAAAGGCTCTCGCTCTTGGCTTCGTTAACGCACAGATTCCGGAATGTGAAATGCAGCCTGCATAGTTTGGTTGTCCTCTTGCCTACAGACCTCAGCTTCTTCCTCAAAACAACACTTTGAGAAACAAGTTCGCTCAGGCACTCGTCGGCTGTTTCTTCTAAGGTTTTACCCTTTTGCGGTTCAAGAAATCCCTCGGCAGCCCATAATGTGGTGAGTTTCGAGCGAGAAATCTCGTAGCCTTTCGGAAACACGCTCACGTACAGAAAGCACACCTTTAGGTATTGGGGCAACATGGTGTAACTCAAAAGCAGCGCCTTTGAGAGGGGTGTGTTGTCGTCCGATTTGATGACGAGTGGATCTTCTTGCTCTGCGATTATACTCCATTCTTGGACAGTTTTCTCTGTTTTAAGCAGGAGCTTTCCAACTTCGATAATTGCAAGAGGGAGCCCATCGCATTTCTTGGCTATCTTCTTCCCGATTTTCTCAAGTTGGAAATTTACAGGCCCTTCATTCCTAGTGAATACTATATCATGAAGTAGTTTCCAGCTTTCGTCATCATTCAACAATGGTACCTCGACAAAATGCCCGTAAATTCTACCATGATCAACGAAGTCTAGCATCCTAGACGTAATGATGATGCGGCTCTGGTGTACCTCGGTCGGAAGAAATCGTTCGAGTTCTTTACTGATGTGAGTATTCCATACATCATCCAACACCACGAGATACCTCTTACCGAATAAAATCTTGCATACAAGCTCGGATAAAGAATCTTCACTTAGACCTTCTTCGTAATCAGCTTTTAGTTGATCGAGAACAAGTAGAAGAATTTGCTTCAACTGGTATTGGGGGCCGACCGACACGAATATACGTTGCTGAAAATGTTCCATTACGTGTGGATTTTCGTAAACCTGTTTGACCAAAGTAGTCTTGCCGATGCCAGCCATACCGACAATTAACATCATTGTACAACACCCTTCGACGTCCGACAAAACCCAACCTTGTAGTTTCCTTAGTTCCCTACCCAATCCCACCATTTTTTTCTTCATACAACCAGTTCATATACCCTCTCTCTCTCTCTCTCTCTAGCGCTTCATATAACACATGAAAAGTACAGATGCAGATGCAGATGCAGAACAGAAATGTGATGACATATCTAGCTAGTATGTAGTAGTGGTCTTGTTCTTCTCGTTGATTTGTATTTGATATGGGTAGGTGAATAATATTTTATCATTAGTGTATTAATAATAATAAAATGAAAAAAAAAAAAAAAAAAAGAACAGGTGTCAATTTCTCTTAGGATCCGAATAGTGAAGTTAACATCTCAACCACCTAAAAAAATAAAAAAACAGTTGCATATTCAATACTTGATTAATAAATTGGCTAAATTGTAACTTTGGCTTCTCAAATTTGAGAAACCAAAACTATCATTTAGCAAATATAGAAAATATTAACATAATGTTATATGTTATATTGTACTTTATAATATATTTATCATTAAAAAATATTTTATATTATCTTACTTGCTTCTTATATTTTATAAATGTACTAAAGATAATTATTATTTTACTTAGTATTTATAATAACTAAATATTAAAAAAAAAATATTTATCATTTTAATTAACATAAAAAAAATATTTCATAACTAATTATAAATTTTTAATGTTTATAAGTATATATCAATTAAGTTATTGAAATTTCTTATATCAAATTTAAAATAATTTTTCTATACTTGTTAATTAGTATTATTAGTTATTGGTATATTAACTAAAATAAAAGTCAAATAATTTTGTAAAACAAAAATCATGAAGATTCAACATATAAATATATTGTTTAGAATAATACACATTTTTATTAATATTTTATAATAATTGTGTAAAATATAAACAATGTTGTTGGAGTGCAGTGTTAAAAGTGGAATGCTAAAACACTGTTCATTAGTTATATTATAGATATAGACAACCGTTTTTAGAAAAACTGTTGGAGATGGCCTTACGTAATCTGTACTCCATTTTTTACTTCATCAATCAGATGATTCAAATCATGAACTCATGTAAAAGTATGATGCTTAGAATCAAGCCAGAATTATGAGAGATAAGGCCCAAGAGATAAGGCCCGCTAAGGCCCACTCAAAGGCTCGGCCCAAAAGACAGAAGCCATCAAAGCCCACTAATTGATACGGCCTAAAAAATAGCCCACGCCGAAACCATTCCTCGTCGATATGACCGAGCGAGAGGAACGAGCTGCCGAGGACCGAGTAGGGGTGTAAATGAGTCGAGTCGGCTCGCGAGCTTCCGGAGCTTGCTCGAAAAAAGCTCGTACTTGAGCTCGAAAAAACGAGCTTGAGCCCGAGCTTTTCGACGAGCCGAGTTCGAGCTTCATTTCAGTTGTTCGACAGCTCGCAAGCCGGCTCGCGAGCTTTACCTTTTTTAATATTTTTTTTTTATTATTAATTTTTTTTTTGAAGGAATTTTTTTTATTTATATTTTTTAATACATATTAATACTATATAATAATGGATATTATTAATAATAAATAAAAAAGAATAATATTAGTTTTCTAATTGAATGAAAATTTGGTTGTGCCGAACTCGGGCTCGAGCTACGTAGAAACACAACGAGCTCGAGCTGAAAATGATAGGCTCGTCGAGCTCGAGCCTTGTATAGTTGTAGCGAGCTCGAGCTCGAGCTTGCGAAATAAGGCGAGTTCGGCTCGTTTACACCCCTAGGACCGAGTGGGCGTACGGTTCTCGGGGAGGTGCCACGATGGCTATGTCCATGGGCATTTATGATTTTGGCGAGTACGCAGGGAGGGGGGCATTAAACGACTCACACCATCATTAATTGCCCGATTGACTAGTGACAGTCGGAAAAAGAGGAGAGTCTAAGGAAATGTGCGAAAAGGCTACCCGTGTAAGAATAATTAAAAATACAAAATAATTTTATAATCAAATTACATCCGTCAAATTATATATATAATAGAGAATAATTTTATTTATATACAATTTCCCAACATTGTCCCTTTTCTTAAAAATGTGAGCCATTGAAGCTGTTCAGTGTTTTTTTTTTTCTTCTTCAGAATGAAATTAGCAGCAGCAGCAGCAGCACATATCTTCCCCCAATTCCACCCTCCATTCTCACACCCCCACCACCCAAATCCTCCCCCGCCACTCCTCTCCGCCGCCACCACCACCACCACCCATTTCGCCCCTCCGTTCAAACTCCGCCGCAGCAAAGACCTACTATTCCCGCTCAAATCTCACCAATCCCAGTCACCCAATCCCCAAACCGCCGCCACCCGGCACGATGACGGCGGCGACCCCGGAATCCCATTCGAGCACGTCAAAATTCTGGCGAAATTCAAATCCCGGCACAACTACATCCGAGTGATCCAAGTATCCAGGGCGGCGGACCACCCACTCGCCGGATCCAGGCTCCTCCTCCTCGACGCCCCCGGCAACATCCACAGCATCTCCTTCCTCTTCAAAACCCTCACCAACGCCTACTACGACGTCTTCGCCACCCTGCCCCCGATCCTCCCGCCCGGACCCGTCGGAATACTCGGGTTCGGAGCCGGATCCGCCGCCAAAATCATCCTCGAACTCCACCCTCAAACCGCCGTCCACGGCTGGGAGCTCGACCCCTCCGTCGTCGCCGTCGCCCGAGAGTACTTCGGCCTCGAAAAGCTCGAAAGCAAACACCCCGACCGCCTCTTCGTCCACACGGGAAACGCGCTGAACGCGACCGTGAAAGACGGGTTCGCCGGGATCCTAGTCGATCTGTTCAGCAAGGGCTGCGTGATTCCCGAGCTCCAAGACGCGGCGACGTGGGAGAGGCTGAAACGGAGCTTGAAGAAGGGCGGGAGAATGATGGTGAACGTCGGCGGGAGCTGCGTTGAGCCGGAGGATATAAGGAAAGACGGGAATTTGATAATGGAGGACACTCTGAAGGCGATGAACAGGGTTTTTCCGGCGGGGCAGCTCTCTGTGCTGAGCCTTGATAGTCGGAAGGACGACAGCGCAGTTGCTCTGACCGGTGAATTTCCAGACGCCGGTGAGTGGAAGAAGGCGCTGAAAAAGCCTCTTAGATTCTACGTTGATATGTGGCAGCCTTACACAAGTAAAACGGACCACAGTCATCGTTCTAATTGAGCTTGTTTTTTTCGTGGCGTTGCCATGCTTGTCAAGTGTTTGATGATATGCTCCAATGAAAACTCATCATTTACCACTCCAAAATGTGTAAAATCGTAATATTACAGAAAATATTTCTTAATTATTTTAGTTAAATAATTTCAATTTAAAGGCTTCCAATTTTTCTTAAGTTCTATTATTAAATTACTTTAGGGTAAATAGCACTTACATATGCTATTATAAGATTTTGCAGATGATTTTTTTTTTTTTGCTTAGAGGTGAACTTTTGCTTAGAGGTGAACAAAAAAACTGAGAAACCGAAAAACCGAAAAAATCGAGTCGATATGTATCGTCCCGACTTAAAACTGCATGTAGGGTAATTTTTTTTTGAAAAACCTAAAGTATTGGTTTGTGTATGGAGAATTAAAAAATTACCGAAGCGATTTCCCGAATCGATTTATACAAAATGATATTTTTTTTATATATAGTATAAATACTTACCATAGCGTACCTCTATCTTTCGAGCACCTCCACGTGACATGTTTTTCTATTAATTAATTTTGGTTGTGACGTGTTTTTTAATAGTTAATTTTCGATTGTTATTTGTTAATTTTCTCAAATAAATAGAATGAAAGTCCAAATGTATCAGTTTTATGCCGAATCAATTCGAACAAATAGACGAAATCGAAACCGAATTGATACCGAAACCGTTATCCAAAAACTCGAAAAACCGATTAACACCGAACCGAAAAAAACCGACATATTCGGGTTTTAATGTATGAAAAACCGATATTATTGGTACGTGTTTGGTTTATTGGAAAATCCGAGCCGTACCGACCCATGCACACCCCTATTTGTGCTCGTACTATTAGCACATAATTCTATTGTGATTTTTGAGATAGCATTCTGATAGTTTTTCCGTCAAGGTTAACAACATGTGTCAGACTCCATTGTGTTTATATTTTTCCTTCATTTTTACAGATAATCCCATTGAAATTCGGCATATGCGATTAAGTTTAACGGAAAAACTAACGGAAGTTACCTCCGCAAGAGGTAGTTAGTTATATGATTATATTACGAGCACAAAAGAATTATCTGCAAAAATTTGTAACCATATGGTGTTATGTGTTATATACCTAATTACTTATATAATGTGATATGTATCGGGACAAAAGACAAAAAAAACAATTAAATTAAATATAATTTAATGGTCATTTTAAGAAAAAAACTTCTCTTGTTTAGATAATTACATATACCCCTTAACTATGATTTTTTTTTTCTTACATCTCCACCCTTATGGTGTCAAATTCAACATAATCATCTAGATTTCGTGGAATGTGCTCTAGTTTGTACTCGTTTTTGTGTAAAAATACAGTTTCTGATGCACCACAATCTGATGTACATATTATGATCATCTTGCTTCAAAATGTGGAGTTTGAATGGGATAAAACGGGTACAAAAGTAATAATATTTCATATAATATCGATGATTCCACTAAATTTGAAATCGCAAGGGTGACCGTGTAAGAAGATTTATAGTTGATGGGTGGTTGTAATTACCCAAACAGAAGGGGGAGTTTTTATAATTTGATCATACCTCAGGGTTTGGTTGTAATTTACCCTTAAATTTTACTATTCAGCAAATTTTGCTTAATCTTTCCAACAAGACCGGGCTTGTGCTTTGACTAATTAGGACGTTAGACTCGGATATCCGCACTAATTCGTATTCGGGTCAAACAAAACCCGAAATGTGTTCTAACTTCTAAATATTTCCAAAACAAAATTCGTCATTTATTAGAACCCTAATTCAAATTGCACCTTGCAAAATTCCTCTGCCATAATTTGGGGCACTCTTCTACATCGTCTTCTTCTCCAATGGCTGACCGGTACCGATCGAGGTATTCCAGAAATCTACAGCATCGATTTACTATTACTTTTAATTTTGATCGGAATTGTTTCTGGTTACGTCTTTGATTGAATTGAATTTGTTTCGACAATTGAACGCAGAGAAGGATTAAGCACGAGGTCGGCGGCGTACGGTGGTAACTCCGATGAGGTTCAGGTGCGAATCGATCCAGATTTCGATGATGAGGTCGTCGGTCTTCGCAAGCAAGTTCGCCGATTACGTGATGTAATGTTCTTTCTTTCCCCCCTTTTGAAATTCGATTTGGGTTAGTCAGATTTTATTTCCTGATTGCTTGAAAATTGATCAAGCGTTAGTGGTTTTTGATTTTTTTTTGTTACTCAATTTTGGTATGAAATTGTTAAAGTTAGTAGTTTTGGATTTCATTTTTGGTACGGAATTCGTAAAAATTGACGATTTATCGAAGCACGGAATGGTAGCGTTTAATATTGATTAGAAGGAATTAAAAGATAATCAAAAAGTTCTGTTCTAATGTTCCTTCAGAAAATGCTCGTATATGGCTTCTGGAGAACTACTTAAGCTTGTCGAGCATATTTAGATAGATGTTCTATTTGAGTATACCCGTTGTATATGTGTAATTGAAAAGAGGAAACTAATTTGAAGTCATTCGCTAATTCCATACGAGTTGAATTTAAGCATGTTGCGTAATTTTCACTGCGTGCACGTTCCGACACATTTATTGAGTTCATTTATATATATTTTTTTAAAGGTAGGTGATAAACTTCGTATTCGGGAATAGTGCGACTTTATATTAAATAGATAGTTGTTGCTAACACATAATTGCAGATCTTGGTCCGTGATATATCACTTCTGTAAAACTACTTTATTTCTGCTTGTCTACTTATCGTTTGTGTGTACAACAATGCAGGTAGCTCAAGAAATTGAAACAGAAGCAAAGTCCCAGAATGATTTCCTCAATCAGCTGGTATGCCTCAAACCTAAACTCCGATTTTAATTTGACCCTCTACTAATTGCTGAATTGACTTGCACACACATCGTGGAAAAGAGACTGAACCCTAATTGTAAATAGTGAACTTTGGTTTTAGTAGACTATGGCCTCTTTCTTTTATGAAACAATATGAGTTAAAATTTTGATGGGGTGATTGACGCTATATCTGATTAGTACACTAAGGCCTCGTTTGGTTGGATGTTTGGTATTTCCAATAACTTATCGGGTCGACCCGGAAATATTATATTATCATGCCTTATCTTGCATTTTACGGAGCTTTTTATTGGGTGTACGGGAGTCTGATAAAATAATTGAGTTTTCATTAGATTATTTAACCCTATCTTGGCTAATCCTATCTTGGCAACCAAACGAGGCCTAGAGGGGATGGCTAAGGAAATGCTTCGATATTTAGTATGATCTTTTATTGATGAAATCGTCCTTAGAACTGATAGCAACTGTCAGCTTTCTTTCGATATGCATTGTGAATTTGTTTGTTTACCTTTTGAAGTTCTTTTCTCATTTGGAAATTCGAAATTTTGTGTTTGTTTTGCATCTCAAAACTCCTTTCGATTTTACGATCCGGGAACTAACCAAAATCTTCCACAAATGCTTGACTATAAAGCTATAATTCGAATGATTCAACTGTTACAGTCGAACAAAACGTCTCTTGCTTTATTACAAAATTTTCTCTCGCACTACTTTCAGATATGATTTAATTTGTTCCCCAAAACATTAACAAACATTACTTCGATTCTCAAATTCTTTTCCCCAAAAACTCAACAACGAGAAATTAATGACACTGCTCTGTTTCTTCTGTCTGTTGTATCACAGCAAATGACGTTGATCAAAGCTCAAGCAGGGGTGAAAAACAACATGAGAAGACTCAACAAGAGCATCATATGGGAAGGATCAAGCCATGTGATGCATGTTGTTCTTTTTGCACTATGCTTATTTTTCTTCATCTACTTGTGGTCCAAATTCTCGAGAAGATAAGAGCCGCATCGACTAATTGTTTTGACCACCTCCCGTAAAAGTAAAGCACCTTCGTGTAAAATACATTATACATGCACTTGGAACCTTTGGCATTGTATGTAAAAATGGGATTGTTAATTATAGTTAAACCTCTATAGATTAACGCAGTCAGGACTAAATAGTGAAATATTAAATTATCGAACTAATAGTTTAATACATTTACTACGAGTCGGGACCGGGAGAAATTGTTATTTAAGCAAGATTATTAATTTATCGAGGTTCATATGTATTTAGTTGTTCATATTTAAAAAAAATATATATATGTTCTTGCCATTTTTTATGTGTGATTTGATGCTTCAATGATGCTTTTGTGCATTGCATCTTAGTGTGGGAGTGAAGAGGGTTCTTCAAATTCCCATAATACCCCAGCCCAATTGAAAACTGAAAACTATTGTGTATTGTTGCTATGATTCTCTACAGGTTAATATGATTTAATTATATATTTATAGGGTAAATTACAAACACCCCCTAGTTATGGTCAAATTACAAAAACACCCCTCTTGTTTGGATAATTACAATCACCCCTCAACTTCTCAAATTTAGAGGAATCTTGAGATTATATGGAATATTATCACTTTTGTACCCGTTTTATCCCATTCAAACTCTACATTATGAAGCAAGATGATCATAATATGTGATTTTTAGCTTGTATATATCAGTTTGTGGTGCATCGGAAACTGTATTTTTACACAAAACGAGTACAAACTAGAGCACATTCCACAGAATCTAGATGATTATGTTGAATTTGGCACCATAGGGGTGGAGGTGTAAGAAAAAATCATAGTTGAAGGGGGTGGTTGTAATTATCCAAACAAGAGGAGTGTTTTTGTAATTTGACCATACCTCAGGGGTTGTTTGTAATTTACCCTATATTTATATCTTAATTACGGTTAGACCACTCCTAAATAATATAGTTTCTTTTTATCCACTTCATAACATGATAGTATTTGCTGATTAATTAAAAAGGGTAATAACAGTCACCCCTGGCATAAGATCAAATTATGAAAATACCTTTTATGTTTGGTAATTAGTAATTACAATCTCCCTTCTATGAATCTTCTTACATGTTCAACCTTACAGTGTTAAATTTAGCGAAATCTTCTAGATTATGTAGAACATTCTCCAATTTGTATCCGTTTTATCGCATTTCAGCTCCACATTTGGAAACAAGATGATCATAAGATGTATATATTGACTTGTAAATATCAGATTGTGGTGTATCATAAACTGTATTTTTGCAGAAAACGAATGTAAACTAGAAAACATTTCACGGAATCGAGAAAATTATGTTGAATTTGACAACATAAAAGTGGACGCGTAAGAAAATTGAAATTTGAGGGGTAATTGCAAGTACAAACATGAGTTTTTTTTCGTAATTTAACCTCAACTCGGAGATAGTAATTTACCCATTAAAAAAATTTATTAATTAATTAATTAGCAATTTGGAAATATAACCGATGTGTTGGGCTCTCCCAAGTGTATCATTCATTCATTCATTTGTGTTGGAAAGCAAATTTGCCATCCTCTGTTTTGGTTGAAATGGTTCGTATAATACGACGGCGTATCATCTGTCTTCAGTTCTGATATCTTCTTGCAGCTATAAATGGAAACCTCTTTGGCAAATGAATATCCATTTGAACTCCATTCTTTCACAACTCACGAAACCGCATCACACCATCTCGAGAACCCGTATCTTGCACGCGCTTGTAATCGCCAACTCCCTCTCTTCCGACCCTTTTTACGCCACCAAGATCCTACGTCTGTACGCCGTAAACAACGACCTGATTTCCGCCCGCAACCTGTTCGACAGAACGCCCCAGAGAAGTGTTTTCCTTTGGAACTCAATCATCCGAGCTTACGCTCAGTCCCACCGATTCCCCGACGCGTTTGCGCTTTTCAAACGCCTTCTGATCTCCGAAACACCGCCCGATAACTACACTTTCGCGTGCGTTGCTCGGGCTACCGCAGATAGCTTCGACATCAAGGCATTGAGAATTGTGCATGGGAAAGTGGTCTCTTTTGGGTTAAGTTTAGATTTTGTGTGCAACAGTGCGCTTGTGAGTAGCTACTCAAAGTTGGGCCTAGTCGATGAAGCAAGCTGCGTGTTTCGTGGGATCGAAGAGCCGGATTTGGTGCTATTTAATGCTATGATTTCAGGTTATGGCAATTGTGGAGATTGGGTGAAGGGGATAGAATTATTCAACACAATGCAGAATACGGGGTTTCGGCCCGACGGGTATACAATGGTGGGGTTGATTATTGGATTAATTGATCATCGTTCGATAAATACAGGCGAAATGATACACGGGTTTTGTGTGAAATGTGGTTTGGATTTGAATGATCATGTGGGAAGTGTGCTTGTTAGTATGTATTCAAAGTGTAAGAACATAGAGTCGGTATTTAAAGTATTCGGTAGTCTAGTCCAGCCAGATTTAGTTTCGTGGTCGGCGATAATTACCGGTTTGTCCTTGGCCGGATATTATGTAAAGGCCTTGCTTTTCTTTAGGGAATTTCTTATAGATGGAAGAAAAAAGGCTGATTATGTGTTGATTGCTAGCGCTCTTTCTGCTTCTGCTCAGTTGGCAATTGTGGGACCCGGCTGTGAGATCCATGGTTATGCTATCCGGCACGAATGTAGCACAGAGGTTGCAGTCTCATCTGCTCTTATTGACATGTACGCAAAATGTGGATTCTTGGAGATGGGCGTTAAGGTGTTCGACAAAATGCCTCATAGAAACACTGTCTCGTACAATATCGTAATTTCGAGCCTCGGTCTATACGGACGTGCTCAAGAGGCATTTCGGTTGTTCGACGAGATTCTGCAAGAGGGATTAAAGCCCGACGAAACGACCTTCGCGGGCCTGCTTTGCGCGTGTTGCCATTCGGGCCATGTTAGTGAAGGCAGAGAGTATTTCAGACGCATGACAGAGGAATTCGAAATTGGAGCTAAAACGGAGCATTATATTCACATGGTGAAGCTTCTTGGTATGAACGGAAAATTGGAGGAGGCTTATAATCTCGTCAAATCCATCAATCAAGAACCGGTGAATTCCGGTATATGGGGAGCACTTTTGTCGTGTTGCGCCTCTTGTAAGAATTACGAGTTGGTCGATGTAATAACGAACCATCTTGATGAAAACAAGCAAGAAAATTGCAGTTACGGTGTCGTACTTTCGAATTTATTCGCGGGTGATGAGAGGTGGGACCATGTGAAGCAGTTGAGGGTTGATAACGGAGGAGCTAAAGGGAAAATTCCTGCAATAAGCTGGATCAGTAATACAAATCATTGAACACGAGCTAAGTTCTTCTTTTCGTTTTCCCCTATTTAAGAATACTATCGAATATTACGTTGGAAAGCGATCAACGGGATGTTCTTGCAATCTTTCTCAACATTTCTTGAATCTTCGATTACGATAAACGATAACTATATTTTTCGGTTTATGTAGCTTTGGTTGCAACAACTAATAAGCTTCGTTGCCTAATATTAATAAGGTTTCAGGTGAAGTGGTCATTTAACACGGTATCAGAACGAAACTAATTAAAACGTCATGTGTTCGAATCCCACAATCTACAATTTAAAAAAAAAATCAATAGGAGCCGGTCAGATCGATCAAACGCGTGGATTTCCCACATAAACATGTCGGTCGCGTCTAAAAGTGAACGAAATTGGGCTAAACGACGTATTTTCACCTCTAGCACTGCATAGGGTCAATAGGGTTTTGCCCAATTGACATGTCGACGGCGTCTGAACGAGCTTCGACACTTGCATGTGAGAATTTGTTTAGATGGAAATGGTTATTGAACTGTGTGAAGAGGCAAAAAAAATGAAGGTAGGTGTATAGATAGATAGATAGATATATAGAGATAGGGTTTGTAGCAATATTGGTTGTTGGAACATTGTGTCACATTGAGATGATAAGAGTTATTGTTCAAGGTTTCATAATTGTATACAAACATTTCGAATCTAACTTTAAGGATTTTTATCCTTTTCAGTTTTCACCCAATTACAACACTTCTCTCTAACATCTACTCATTCATTCATAGCTTTAATATAATATGTATTATATATATATATATGTGATATAGCTTGTATAGGTTTTAACCTTTTCGCAGACTAGGAATTATAAACCTAGTCATTTGTTCGTGAGCTCACGAGCCATGTTTTTGTTCAAATAATTTAAATAATATATAATAATATGAATATTGTAATAATAATAGAAAAAGTACATATAAAAATTAATTACATTTCATTATCTATTTTGTAATCTTTTTATAATAATATAAATATTTTTTAATAATAAAAAAATAATGATATAAATAAGTAGAGGAAAAAAAAATCAAACTCGAACTCGAGCTCGAGCTCGTCAATACAGCCAAACTCGCCTCGAGCTCGGCTCCTTTACGCCCCTAGTTTTGATGTGTCAGGATGGAAA